CTGATTCAACCAAGATATGAGTGACTCTTCTACCATCGAAAGAGTCCTACCTCTAGGACTAGGCCCTGAGGCACAACCTGTGCCCTGCAACCCCCACCCATCACTGCCCCAGTTGCAGGCCAGCAGGGAAGACTCCTGTGTACAGGCTTCCCCACCAACACCATCCATCGGACATTGTAATCTACAAGACCCACTCCCTACCCCAAATCCACCCACCCCCCTGTGACCTCAGCTGCTTTCTGAGACACAGAATCCACCAGCTCTGATTGGACCCAGAGTGGTCCTCTGAGAAACAGACACAGCAAGCACAGATTGGACCAAGAGCAGCTCCCTCAGACACAGACACCTCTTGCACCAATTGGAGGAAGAGATGGGTAGGTGCCAGTGCAAAATACATACAACAACATAAAGAGTAGCATGACACCACCAGAACCTAATGGTTCTACAACAGCAAGACTTGAACATCACAATGTAGAAGAAGGAGAAGAAAACAACCTTAAAAATAATTTTATGAAGATGATAGAGGACTTTAAAGAGGAAATGAAAAACTCCTTAAAGAAATTGAGGAAAAGACAAACAAAAATTGGAAGAAATCAGTAAACTCCTTAAAGAAAGTCAAGAAAACCTAGTAAAAGCAATTAAACAAGTGAGGGAAACAGTTCAAAACCTGAAAATTAAATAGAAACAATGAAGAAGACATAAACAGAGGGAATGCTGGAAATAGGAAATCTGAGTAAATGAACAGGAAACACAGATGCAAGCATAATCACAGAATACAAGAGATGTAAGACAGAATCTTTGGTGTGGAGGAAATAGATTTGTCAGTCAAAGAAAATACCAAAGTCAAAAAAGTCATAGCACAAAATGTCCAGGAAATCTGGGACACCATAAAAAGGCCAAACCTAAGAATAATAGGGATAGGAGAATGAAAAAAATACCAACTCAAAGGTATAGAAAATATATTTAACAAAATCATGGAAGAAAACTTTCCCAACGTAAAGAAGGAAATACCTACGAAGATACAAGAAGCTTATAGAACACCAAATAGAAGTCCCCTTGCCACATAATAATCAAACCACTAAACATATAGAATAAAGGAAGAATATTAAGAGCAGCAAAGGAAAAAGGGGTGGTGTGTATGTAGAGGTCAAAGGACAACTTGTAGAAATTGGTTCTTTCCTTCTACCATGTGGGCCCTTGGGATTGAACTCATGTTGCTAAGCTATCCTTCCTGCTCCAAATATATTTCAAAGTAAGTGAAGCAGCACCCATGTGAGAAATTTTTGTAATTATTTTATTTTCTTTTCCTTCTAGCATAAATATTATCCTATTGCTATTCCAGAAAGACTTTTTAAAAACTAATTTTCTATCATATTCTTGCATATTAACAATCATATACATTTAAAAAAATGTCTGTTTTCTAGAAGGCTCTGGGTTAACTTTTTATAATTATAGTTACCATACAGGTTTTAATAATAACTTAGAACAGAAGTAAAATTTTTATGCAGAGTTTACTTGAAATGTGAAATAATCTTGAGCAGACATTAAGGCATAAAATTCTTGTACAAGTTGTTACAAAACAATATTAGTTTCACTGGAAAAAGCTAATATTAAAAAACTCAGAAAGTGAAAAATATTGAATTTCATTGTAAAATAATTTGCTTTAAAGCAGTGATAGAATGTTGTTACTATGATTAAGGCAAGTTTATAAGTAACTCAGAATGTCCATAACAACTTAGAAAGAATCAGTGTTTCCAAAGGATTGTAAATTTATTCAGTGCCCTAGAGTTACACTCTTAAATGGTTAAAATAAGAAATTTTGTTATATGTATTTCATAATAGAAACTTTTATGACTATTTAAAAGATCCTAAAAACCATGTAAAATTTAGCACAGGAAAGTTTAGAAATAAGTAACAATTTCAAATTTAATTTTAAAGAAGGTCAAGACTTGAAGCACTCACAGCCTCTTTTATAGGCAAAATTGGGAGAATAAACTGTGAGCATAATCTTGAAGACCTACCACCCATAAAGCTCTAATGAAATCAGGTTCAAAGTGTAATCACAAAATAAATGAGAGCCAAGGTAGCAGAATCAAAGGCCAATACAGAAAGTAAGATGGGTGGTCAGACCTGAGAAACGATCTGACATCAGAGCTTGGAGTTACTCGTAAAAGCACTGGAAATGCTTTTTTGCACTCATTAAGAACCAAACATGTTTTCCCATATATCTTAGCTTTGCTTTAGTTATATTTTTCTGTGTGTAAAAATTATTGCATAGAAATTTCAGGAATTTACAAAATATTAAAATGGAAAACTCAGATCACCTGCACTAGTACAGAGATGAAGGACTTATTTATCCAGTTTTTCCATGAATGAAATTAGAATAATTTCTAAGTATCAATTATCTGTTTCTTATATCCAGCACTGATCATCTATGTATCTATTCCTACCTATCATGTATTTTATTTATTTATTTATTTATTTATTTATTTATTTATTATTTATTTATTTATTTATTTATTTTTGAGAGAGAATTTCTCTTTGTAGCTTTGGAGTCATCCTGGAACTCACTCTGTATACCAGGCTGGCCTTGAACTCATAGAGATCCACCTGCCTCTGTCTCCCAAGTGCTGGGATTAAAGGCATGTGCCACCACTGCCTGGCTCACACGTTTGTCTTAAGATTTACACAGAAACAGTAAACATGGAGAGTTGAGTACTGTAAGAGTTTGTAATCAACTTTTTAAAACGTTCTGTTTCTAATCTTAGTCTAATAGAAGCTGTCTTATTTTATAATAAAAATGAGGCTATTCATATAAATGGAAAACCCACCAATGAAACTCTTCTAATGCTATTAAAATAGAAGTTGGAGAATTCATGGAGGAAAATATGAATAAATATGAATTCAAAAAATTACAAATATCACAAATTATTTTCTAGACAGAAAATTAAGAGAAAAATGTGACAACATACAGATATCATAGTGTTAATGTAAATAGGTACCACAAAGAAATCTTAAGACCCAAAAGCTAAGAAGAAAATAGATAATCCCTAAAATGCATGTGCTGTTGACTAACAAACTTGTCAAGAATGTCAACATCATAAGGAATAGGTAATCACAGAAAAAAGTGTTTCTGTAACTAAAACAGGATTAAAAATAACTTCTAGTCTTTTGCTTTTAGATTTGAATAAGATAAATGTTATTCACTCTTATAATATTGATTTCTCTTTGATAGAAGAATTATGAATTCTGTGATGAATTTCCCAAATTCCTTATTATTATAATTGTCTTTAAATAATCTAAAGTCTTCCCTGTGTGCCTGGGTTGCACAACATTGTGATCATTCAGTGGTCTCCGCTCTTTCCAGGCACAACTTTTTTCCATCTTGAAACCACCTTGCTCTTTCTACCTCGCCTCAGCTTATTCAGCTTTAGTTTAACCCACCTTCTCCTCAGTGACACCTCTTCTCCCTAATACCGTCCTAGGCCATTTGCTCAGCATCTTCCAGAAGTTTTTGTTACAAAATATAAATACAGATTTTTGTCATTACATACTACTCGTTTTCTACTAGAATGTATTCATTATATGATGGCTTCTTCAGCAATACCCATTCAACAGCTGTCAGAGTTAGTCTTCAAAAATAGTTACTAAAGCTTGAGTATTCATTACTAAGAAATCAACCTTTCAAATACACCTGTAGATTTCTGTACATGAATATGCATGTGTATATTTATTTCAAACCCTTAACAGTACGTTGCTTACTCTACACAGGTCCTGGACTTGGTCCACTCTTCTGCGTTGGTTAGATACTGTACCTTTGGATGTGTTCTCCAGGAGAATCTCTCCTCAGCGCTAATTGATCATGACTGACAATTTCAAATACCTAGGATTGAACAGTATGAAGATTCCTTTCCTCATTGCTCTCATTTCTTCTTCCACAGATGGTCTCTGCTTCTCTACCTGTTTGTCACAGAGCCACATCCACTCTTATAAACATTTTTGCTTCATCAAATATTGATTAGTAACAAGCACTTTGGGGTTTAATGGATGAAATAACAGTAACCGTAGGTAGTAAAATTGAACACAAAGGAAACATCCTTTTCTGTTCTTCAGTTCCATGTAGAAAATGTCAAGAGTGACCACAATTATCTGCCTTGGTTTCTTTGTCTGTGAGTCCTTCTGGGGAAAGGGTATCAGTGCTCTAAGGAAGTCACAATAAAATCTTTTTCAGACCATTCTAACTGTGTAAGTTTACATGGAGTAGTCTGCAGGTTGATGTTTTTTTCTCTGCCAAGTGTATGGGAATAAATGGCAGAATAGGAGGCCGATTAAACATTTAAATTTTTACATGGCATTAAAATTCCACCCTAGAGTGAGATTCCAAGATATATAGTCAGAACAGTTGCAAAAGATTAATAAAATTTAATACAATATTTAAAAATCAATATGAAGGGTCCAGCAAGATAGCTCAGTGGATAAAACTGCTGTGCAAACCATGCGACCTGAGTTCAATCCACGGAACCCTTATTAAAAAGCTAGATGCAGTGGCATGCACCTGTAATCCCAGAAATACTACTGTGAGAAGAGAACTGTAGATGGGTGAACTGGCTGAGAGCTCTTAGCTCAGCTAGCTGGAAGCATCAAAGTGGCAGCAACAAAAGAGAGATCCTACCCAAGGTGGAAGGAGATAACCAACTCCTTGGCTTGCCATGTTAAAAATAGCACCAACACATCTATCCCATCTTATACCTTCTATACCAAACACACACACACACACACACACACACACACACACGAGAGAGAGAGAGAGAGAGAGAGAGAGAGAGAGAGAGAGAGAGAGAGAGAGAGAGAGATACACATCCACATAGGATAATAAATCAAAATGAAAAAGAAGCTAAAACATCACCCCAAACACAACGTAAGAACATTGTACAAATGAAAAAGATCTTTTTATGATTTCCTCCCTATTACTCCAGACTATCCATTTCTGTTCTAGACTGTCACATGGTTCTCAGATCTTTTCCTTTCTCACAGCACGTTAATCTCTTCAGTACCCTCACAGAAGCTTGCTTCAGCTGATTGCTTGTTAGAATTAGAATAAATGAGTGACAGCAGGGATATGTGGATGACATTGTCAAACCAAAAATAAGTAGCAAGTTGTTTTTTGGGATAAATACGCAGATGATTTCTATTAAAATACCTATAAAATGAAAGATGTAAAGGATAATAAAAGAAATCAAAACTTTCATGGCTTTCACATGAGCTTCTGTGTTGAGGTCTCTGAATTCTGAGACATGAGATTGCATCCGTCTTCTGTGTCTCCAAAGTGAAATAATTAACAGGAAACATGCAGTTAGGGTCATCACAAAGAGAGAAATGATTCCAATATTGACTAAAACATAGTTAATAATTGATTTTCTTGTCTCTTGGTTGATCTCCCAGGTTCTGTTTCTATACTTCATTTTATTATTCTTCATTGCCTTCACAGTGATTGAGAAGGAGATTAGCCATGAGATTAGCAAGTACCCCATTAGAAAGTAAAAAAATTTATCAGCTCTTTTCCTCAACCAGAGAAATACATAGTGGGAAAAATTTGCTATTTTCAAGAAATAGAAGATGCTGAGGCTGGCAGCAAACCAGACACTCAGGTGATTCACAGTTAGCCATATGTAAGTGATGCTTTCAATTAGACCTCTAGACCTACGCATACTTGGAAAGAATACCTTTAAATATGCATCTAAAGTTATTATCCATATAATAAAAATCCTAGAAGTCGCCAAGCCAGTGAGAAGGAAGCCAGTCTTAGAGAACTTCTTCTTCTTGGCCCAGTCCGTGCAGTTCGCAAGTGCAATGAGTGAGTTCCCTAAAGCTCCCAGCACAATCTGAGTAGTTGCAAGGGAAAGGAGGGCACCTTCTGCTGCACTCAGCATCTCTGCAGCTCCACACAGTTGCTTCTGTTGCATCTGTTATAGATTATCTATTGCTGAATGTCCTCTATATGGACTGCCTGATAAAGATCCCCCCCCCGCTTTTTTTTCTTAAATAAAGGCATCAAAATGCACTAAGAATATGTTGTGGTGAAATCTGTGTGCAGACTAAATGTCTTATTGTAATTTACTTATAGGCAAATGACAGTTTCCATTTCATGTATTTTGCTTTTTCCTCTGAGAATATTTTGCATGTAATAAGACTAGTAATTCTAGTAGTTGAGTAGGAGTGACAGATATATACATATATATTCAGAAATTAAACAATAGAAACAACACTGAATTTCATGCTTTAAATATAAAGACACCATCATGAGTTGTGCAAGACAGTGTATGCTTATAGCACCAGCTCTTTGAGAGGTGAGTTGTGCCACCATTTTAGCCTGTGAGGTTTGAGGCCAGCTAGCTAGCCCACAGCTTTCTTTTGAAGAAAAAAATCCTGTAACTCTAAATCCAAAAGGACAAAGAAGGAAAACCCCCAAAAAGGAGAAAAATAATCATAATTTCATTGTTTATAGATGTAATCTGAAGGTACAAATAAAAACTAAATGGACATAGAAATATAGCCACTTTACCCTGATATATTGACTTAATGTTTAATTAAAATATAAGCTCCTTTGTAGGTATGGTAAGTTTCAGAGTAACAAAAAAGTTGAATTTGTGCATAATAGTTGTATTTAGTGATAGGTTTCATAAAGATATTCTCTCTCAAGCACATCACAATTTTAACATTTTAAAACTCACACTATGGTTCTCTTCTTTTTCTTTTCCATTTCCTGGACAATTTTCTATTTTCATGTCATGTGTGCATATTTATATATTTATATATGCATTCTATATTTGTAAAATCTAAGTTGTTTAGTTTGGCAACATTTAGTATTTGAACTTGTCATATTTTATAGATATTAATCCTATGTTGGATATATGGGTAGATAATAAAGATTTCCCTCCATTCTGAAGGCTAGCTATTTTCACAGAGAGAAAATGCTCAACATCTATCTTTCTGAGTCTGATATAGTTTGTTCCAATTGCATCCATTTTTCTGCATATGATATACTTCATTAATCTTTATGGCAGAATCCGTTTCCATTTCCTTTATCTATTCTGCTCTTCATGGACAACAAGGCAGGTTCTTTATCTTGAAAAATGTGATAGTGTTGCAATAAACATGATGTCCAAGTGTCTTTGTGGTATGCTGACTTAAAATCCCTTGGATGTGTAGTCAGTATTGCTATAGATAGGTAATATAGTAGTTCCTTTTTATGCTTTTAAAGATCATTCATACGGATTCCTGTAATGGCCAGACTGAGTTACATTTCCATCAGCAATGCAGAAGAATCCCTTTCCTCAATACCACTGTCAGTATTTGTTGTATTTTCTTTTCTTGATGATTGCCATTCTGACTTGGGTAGGATAGAATTTCAATGTGGTTGTAACTTGTAATTCCTGTATAGCCAAGGTTGTTGAACAATTTTTGAAATATTTATTGGTATTTGTGTGTGTGTGTGTGTGTGTGTGTGTGTGTGAGAGAGAGAGAGAGAGAGAGAGAGAGAGAGAGAGAGAGAGAGAGAGAGAGAGAGAGGGGGGGAAGAGAGAGAGAGAGAGCTGTTTGTTCATTTCATTAGCCCATTTATTTATTAGGTTGGTTGGTTTTGTGGTATTTAGTATTTTGAGCTCATCATATATTATGGATATTAATCCTGTGTTGGATATATGGCTAGACAATAAAGATTTATTCTGTAGGCTGTCTCTTCACTCAACTAGCTATTTCTTTTGCTGATTTACATAGTTGTTGGCTTAACTTTATATTGTTATAAGCTATACATACATATATGTATATACATATACATATATATCTTTTCCTTCCAGGTCAGTAAAAGTTTCAACCTCAATGTCCGATGACCTAAGATTGTTCTGTTTTCCTCAATAAGGTCTTATTATAAAGTTCTAGTGAGTAAGCAAGAACAATGGCAATAGGCTATTTTGTTTTTGATTTCTAGAGGCCTCCCTTCCTGTCCAACAACTTGAAGTACAGTATCTGGCATTGAAATTTTGTCTGATGGTGTCACTGGCACTGAAGAATCATTTCATGAGTGCTCTGATCTATTTTTCCATTACTGTTTTTCTAATTATTTATCAGACCTAAATTCACTCTTATGATCATGTTATTATATGAAATACCTAATGTAGTAAGAACTTTGTGGTTTAATGGGTAAAAATAAAGGTAACTTGCCAGATGGTTGTGGTGCACGGCTTTAATCATGGCTCTCAGGAGGCAGAGACAGGTGGATCTTTGAGTTTAAGGCCAACTTGGTCTATAGAGCAAGCTCTAGGACAGCCAGGGCTACACAGAGAACACCTGTCCAAACAAACAAACAAACAAACAAACAAACAAACCAAACCACCACCACAACCACCACCACCACCACCAACAAGCCCCAACCAACCAACAAACAAACTAAATAAAGGTAACTTTGTAAGAAGTGAAAATGTCCAAAAAGTCCCATGTTCCACATTTCAGGATTGATTATAACTATATGTTTTGCTTTCCTTTGTTTTGGGTCTTCTGGGGAAAGGCTATCAATGGTCCAGGAAAGCCAAGAGAATCACAATTAGGCACACTATGGAGTCTTTCTTTACGTGGGATAGTCTGTGGTTGATGCTTTTCCTTGGGCAAATGAATGGGAAGAAGTTAAGGAGTCAGAAAACGGACTGAAAAAATGAACATGCACATAGGATTGAAATCCCACCAGGGGGTCCAGAAGAGTCCAACAATGTTTGATAACAGCTGAAATCAATAAAAGGACATAGTACAAATGAAAGGGTCTTCAGGGATTCTTTTTCACTTCACTATTCCAGATCGTTCATTTCTCTCCCAGACTGTCATGTGACTCTGAGATCTTTTCCTTTCTCAGAGCACTTCAATTGTTGCAGTGTTCTTACAGCACCATGCTTCAGCCGGCTGTTTGCTAGAATTAGGATAAGTGAGTGGCAGCAGGGATATATGAATGTAGTTGTCAAACCAAACATGAATAACAAGTTGCTTTCTGGAATGAACAGACATAATACAGTGATGGTAATACCTGTGAGATGCAATATAAAAAGGATGATAAAAGATATTACAACTTTTATTGCTTTCACATGAACTTCTGTGTTGAGGTCTCTGACTCCTGATTCACTCAGTTGCATCTTCTTGCTGTGTCTCCAAAGGGAGATGATTAACAGAAAACATACAATTAACATTATCATAAAGAATAAAAATACTCCCGCATTGGTGAAAACAAACTGAACGATTAACTCACTTTTCTTCAGGCGGATCAGCCAGGATGTGTTTATGAACTGCATTTTTTTTTCTTTAACCATCTTTGCAACTACTGGGAAAGAAAATAACCATGACACAAACAAGCACCCTATCAGGAAGAGAAAAACTGTGTTAATTCTTCTTTTTAACCAGAGAAATATGTAGTGGGAAAAATTTACTATCTTCACGAAATAGAAGATGCTGAGGCTGGTGGCAAACCAGAAGCTCAATTGACTGAAAGTTACCCATAGATAACTGATGTGTTCAATGATGTTGGCAGAAGACAGCAGCTTTGGAGAGAATATCTTAATGTATGCCTCTGAGATTAACATCCACACGAGGCAAATTCTGGAAATCGCCAAGCCAATGAGAATGCAACCAATCTGAGAGATCCTCTTGTTCCTGGTACAGTCTGTGCAGTTCACAAATGCAATGAATCCGTTCCCTAGAACTCCCAGCACAGCTTCACAGGTTGCAATGGAAAGGAGGACACCTTCCGCTGCACTCAACATCTCTGCCGATCTTTAAGATGGCTTCTGCTGCAGCTGTTTTATGTTATCCGGTGTAGAATGTCTCACCTACTGACTGCTCAATACAGGAGTGACTTTATCTTCTTCCCTTAAAGACTGCAACATATCCCCAAAATTCTTTGTGGTGGAATCTGAAATGTCTTCACGGAGTTCCCTCCAGTTGCTCCCATAAGTCTTAGCTTGTCTACAGGATGCAGCAGACTGCAATTTGTTAATAGGTAAATGAAAGTTTCTGCTTCTTGTATTTTACTTGCCCCTGTGAGACTATTTTGCATTTGGAGAAGTGTCAGGTTGTGAGGTCCATGATCTGACAGCAGGAATGGAGGAGGGTTATAGGCACATACTTAAGTCCATACTCTGCTACTCGGGGATGAGGCATTGTCTTCAGGGGTTTGAGGCCAGCCTAGGTTTCTATTGTAAATTGTTTTGTTATCACTTCTATAAGCCTAGCACAAGAACTTTTTTTTGGTCTTAGTTTCTAGAATTAACACTGAAAGTGCCAGGAGCAAACAATTCCACAAAGGATCTCAAAATTAATATTTCAAAACCTATATTAAAATAAATTTATATTCTATTCTGTACCAAATTCCAGAGTCAATTCTAAAATTTTTATCATGAAAACACATTGGATTGTTTCAAAGGGCTTTCCTGCATCTAATTAGTTGATCATAAGGTGTTTATAAGTCTATTTATGACTGTGTTTATTGACTTAACGTGTATTAAATCATCCTTTTATCTTTGGAATGAAGGTGACTTTATCATGGTGGATGATATTTTTTATGTATTCTTCTTGAATTTGGTTTTAAAGTATTTTGTTGAGAATTCTTGTATCCATGTTCTTTAGGGAGTTCTTTCTATTTCATATTTATCTGGTTTATATATTAATGCAATGTGGGCTTCATAAAAAGAGTTGGCTGCATTTCCCCTTCTTATTTCATGGAGTGGTTTGAGGAACATTGGTTTCTCTTCTTTTTAAAAAGCTAGTAAAATTCTGCAGTGAATTTATCTAGATTTTGAATTTGTTTTGTTCAAAGATTGTCTATTGTCTGTATCTCATTGCTAAAGATGGACATATTTAAATTTTCATCTCTTCATGTTCTAACTTTGGTAGA